ACTACGTTATCAGGCGGAAATTAATTGAAATAAACAGTTTTATAAATAATTAAAAAAATAATTTAATAACTTCGTCACATCGCTCTGGTTTGGTCTAAACAATAACGATAATACACTTGTGCTGCGCCTTTTCCAATCTTTGAAGCAGTTCTGGAACTCACTTTTCAGTATAGCATTCAACTCCTTTTGTGATTCTGTTTTTATCCCGTCAATGGTGATAAAACGTCGTCTTCTCATGGTTCTATTCAGTCTCGGTGATAGAAACAATCCACAAGGGGACATTTAGGGTAAATACAGTGACCGAGACGAAACATTAGTTTTGTTTTTTGTCCAAAAATAAGAATAGCATGTGGTTAAATTCTACAATTTCACCAGTAAAAACATCAACAAATTAATATTTTATATCTACTAAATAAATAAACAATTCTCAAATAGTTCGACTGCTTTTTACCCTAATATAATGCGAAGTCATAAAACTATAAATAGCATTTTTCTCAGAATACCGAATGTCGAACACCTGTGTTTTCAGGTGCACAGCGGTGCATTGGAACAAAATGAGTGTCCGGCGCATAGTTAACGAAGCACAAATGACGTATTTCATTATGTCATGATGTTTTCATTTGTTGAAACCACATACTTTGATTTTCTTTTACTATACGGAGAATGGTCGCACTGCGCAGCTTTCTGAGTGCCTTTTAAAAGGAGATAGAAAACTCCGCCATTTTGAACCCTTATTACGTGTTGCCTACATCTTGGCGCAATATTTTTAATAGGTGCGTTTTAATTATCCGCTTCTGCTTCGGAATTGTCAGTTTTCTTGTTTTAATCTGACAGGTTAAAACGACTAAACCGACAATTCCGGAAGCAGAAGCGGATGATTAAAACGCACCTGATATTTTGCTTGCTGCTGTCAGTGTCAGTGAATATTATTTTTGGAGTCACAGTTTATTGCTAAAGAATCAGTTAGCTCACTGGGACCAGTTGAAAGTTCCAAAATAACATCCACTCCAGGGATACAAATTCAGGATACGCAGAAGACTGCTGTTTTATTATAGGCGGTTGTCATATATTGTATTATCCGAGTTGCACAGTGTATAAACTGAAACATTGAGATCCAAAGTGCCGACGCAGAGTGAGCGATCTGATTCTTTAGCTGTAAACTGTGTCACAGGGTTCAAAATGGGCGTGTCGGACCTCTCTCTTGCCTCGTATAGTAATCAAAGTATGTGGTTGAAACTGAATAGGTGCGTCAACTGTGCCCCGGACACTCATTTCGTCCCAACAGTATATATTAGGGTGAGCTCGACGCGAAAATTCAGTAGTTGTCTTATTGCAATCGAGTTCAGTTGTCTTATTGCCACCAGAGTAGTTGTCTTATTGCCACCACCGATCAGTCTTATCATTGCTATCAACGCGAACAGTCGGTTCAGTTGTCTTTTTGCCATCATCGCTCACAGTTGTTCAGGTGCTTTTTGCCGACGGCACGTTACTTTCTACATTTTTACAAGCGTTTAATGCATTTTATTTTCTGTTGAAAGTTATACCTTCTACAATTATTATGGCATAAGAAGTTCTACAAACAAATGTTTTCAAGTTGGTAACTAAAAAATCAACTGTAAATCAAATTGTGATGAACTAAAATTGTAAATATTTAAAAACTGTTTAGTGAAGATAAGAAAATTATTATATCTAAATGGAATCAACCACTATGTTTTTACTTCAGTGAAAATAGTAAATTAAAAACACTTCTTTTTCTACTACCTATGACTCGTTAGTTATTTCTACAAAAGAACCCAATTCTTCTAACACCAGCGACATATGCTACAGAACATTTTTACCAAAGAAATATTCGGAAGTAACACCGGTATTTTTTCAGCATGTAAGGTGTGAACGAGTGGGTGTCAGGAAAAAAGGGCGCGAACATGTCGCGCGAAAAAATGTCGCGCACAAATAGGCGCGTGTCAAAAGGTCGCCGGCGAAAAAAGAGCACCAACGAAAAAAGGTCGCGAGCAATTGATCGCGCGAAAAAAAGGCGAGTAGGAAAGTACCTATTTATTTAAAAACAAACGATGTGTTTATTATTACTTTAGATAATTACAATACCAATAAGCTGGCTACTTATTCTAAGTAAAACTTATTACCAACGAACTCCGTTAGTTGTTAATACGGCCTTAATAGCAATATTTCTAATATTATCTTTTAATCCCAATAAAAAACATAAATTTATTTCACAATTTACTTAACTGGTTTTAAATATGTTTGAAAGTATTATAATAAGGGCATCGTAATAAGTAAATCTAATTACAGACGAACCCCGTTAGCTGTTAATAAGGCTTTAATATTGATATTTTTATTATCTTTTAATTCTAATGAAAATCAATAATTTATTTCACAATTTACTTAATTGGTTTTAAATAGGGTCTGTATTATAATAAGGGCATCGTAATAAGGATATCGTAATAAGGGTTTGGTAAAATTTAGTATTCATAGAGTTGTCGTTTTGTCAAGATGGTTCTAACTTACGTAAATAGGTAAGAAGGTGCTAATATGTTAGTATACAATGGCTTTATCCACAGAAAGGAAAAAGTTATAGGTGAAAAGACAATTTGGAAGTGTGCCCAATACAATAAGTGGAAATGTAACGGAAGAGTTCACACTGTGGGAGATGAAGCAGTAGAAAGTACAAGCCACAACCATATTACAGACACAGTTAAATTAGAAGCAAAGAAAGATTGTAACAAGATAAAAGAAATGGCGCAACAAGTTGAACTAATAACACAAGGTATATCAGCTACTGTTTCACAAGAATTTTTTTGGGTGCAACTGGGCAATTACCTTCCATTTCATTCCTAAAGCGGACTATTTAACACACACGTCAAAAAAAGGAAGCTATTCCGGCAAAACCTAGAAATTTATACGAGCTTGTTATTCCAGAAGAATACACCATAAGCAGCAATGGCGAACCATTTCTTTTATTTTGATAGTGGCCCAAACGAAGACAGAATTTTGATTTTTCCACCGAAAGAAATTTAACTATTATGAAGAACTATGATCACTGGTATGCTAATGGAACATTTACGTGTGCTCCCTTAATATTTGTTCAGCTGTATACAATCCATGGCGTAGAGTACAGTAACGTTGTACCCACTGCATATGTTCTTTTTCTCAATAAGACTACCGAGACATATACTGTAGCACCTTGGAAGCACTACATACTAACTCCAACTCATAATATATTGATACATGTCACACCCATGCCACACATCAATATTACCTATTACGGCAGCTTAGTGGGAGGCAGGATTTAAGTGACTTGACGACCTCGGTTGCCAAGCATTAATATTTAAAAAAAACATGTCATATATATAATTTTCTGTCATGACGGAATTATCTTTTTTATTATATTAATATATACCCTTTTACTAACCGCTATATTATTTACAAGATGAGATCCCCAAAGTTAAAAGATCCCATATATACTCGCCTCTTTTAAGAGTTAAAAACCTTAAGACCAGATTTACGACTTGCAACAATAATGGTGGATTTTGAAAGGGCAGCAATTAATGCCATACAAAAACAGTTTCCTGAAGTCAAAGTGCGTGGCTGCTTCTTTCACTTGTGGAGAAACATGCAAGGTGCAGGATTGCAACGTATTTATACAGAAGACGCAAATTTTTCTCTACATCTGCGACAACTGGCAGGTCTTGCATTCTTACCCGAAGATGTTGTTGTAACGTTTGAAGAGCTACTTGACAGCGAATTTTATACGCAAAATGAAGATACGCTACTGCCATTTATAAATTATTTTGAACATGTATGGATAGACCAAAGGAGACAACCGCAATTTCCAATAAATCTGTAGAATTGCTTTGAATTTATAGACGAAGATATAGATCGTACAAATAATTCTGTGGAGGGATGGCAAAACAGTTTTTCCTCTATATTAAATGCAGCACCTCCAAATTTATGGTAATCTGAAATTTTATTTTCCAATGCTTATTGGTAATTATCTGAAGTAATAATAAATAAATCGTTTTTTTTTTTTAATAAATAGGTATTAGAGACATACTTTAAAAGGTTACCTGCAATATAAAGATTTTTAAAACAAAATTGTTACGTGCTGTTTTCCTACTCTCCTTTTCTTCGCGCGATCAATTGCTCGCAACCTTTTTTCGTCGGCGCTCTTTTTTCTCCGGCGACCTTTTGACACACGCCTATTTGTTCGCGTCATTTTTTCGCGCGACCAAGTTCTCGCGACCTTTTTTCGTATATCCGAACGAGAGCATTATCGTGAAACAATTTCCACGAGTGCTTTTGCAAATTCTGGGCGTTTTTAACGGGTTGATTTATGCAAACGGCGCAAAACTTCCAGGTAGTATTCCTTTTTAACAGTACGACTAAATGGCAGGAGCTCATGATGCAGTACGCTTTTAAAATCAAGGAAAACCGTGAGGAACGCCTTCACATTTGATCGAACTTCAATTGGGGCTTGGTCTATATACCCATGTTTCGTCTCATGTTTCAAAAGTTCTGGATTGTTGATGACTATTCAGCAATTCCTGATCGTTTTCAGCGCAACGTTTTTCGGTAAACATTCATAGCCAAAATATTCGACAAAATTACTTGGCATATGCCAAATGGTATTCCGACGTCACCAACAACTCTCTCCGATAGTAATTCGGTGATTTTTCCAGAATCATGTTCTTCACTTGTTTAACATTGTCGCCAGTTGTTGATGTATAAGGGCGTCCAGGACCATCGTCATCTTCAACGTCTTCACTGTTTAAAATAAACTAATCATTGAAAAAGGCTGCTAATTGCAATATACTTCAGAAATATGTACCAACAAAATAAAAAAAATATATATTTGACAGTCGGATTCATAAAAAATTACCTTAATTTTTTATCACACCTCGTATTCAGTGTCTGTATTATGATTTTAAAAAAATAGTTCCATATTTATTTATAGAAAAAGTACCATAGAATGTTATTTTTTTTAGGTTGGCTGTTCAAAGTTGAAATAAAAGATGAAAGTGAAATTACAAAATTAATGACAGAAGACCAATATAAAGAATTTTTGAAAACTGTGGAATCCCACTAATTTTCCTCTTGTTGAATCATATTTTGTTATTTGTAAATAAATAGTTTTTTTCATTTTTGTTTTGTTTTAAAATCAATGAAAATATTCCATTCCTCATTTCTTAATCAACAAAGTGTAATTTTCTCTAGTAATCTCCCTAGAGCTTGGTTTATTACCGGAAATTTTTCTGAGTACACAATTTTCTTTAAAAAATCGTATACGAGGAAAAGTTTCTGGTTATTAATTCAAGATCGCGAGAGATTCGGAAATAAAATTTCAAATCAAAATAAAACTATATAAGTTTTCTGCAAATAGCAACAATTAAAAAAACGTAGGAGGCTTTGCATTTGACAGGTAGTAGAATATTAGACGAAATTATTTGACAAAATAAGTTCTAATAGTGCAGTGTAGTTAAATATAAGTAAATAGTTGTTGGATTAGTATAGTTTGTTTATTCGAAATATACGTATTCTTTTTTATTTGTAGAGCTGAAATTTTAGACAAATTAAATCTAAAAAATTATGTTCTGCTACTGTCTAATGACGTGACTAAAATTAAAAAATTTCCAGTGTAATCACTTCCGAAAATCGATGTGGTTGTCATGGCAGTACGTCAAAATAAGATCATTCGATTGATTGAAAAACATTGGTGTGATATTAGCATAGCCCTCAGGATATTAGAGAGTTATTGCAATTTCACATAAGGTCAGTCACTATTAGTTTCGCTCTTATTTTGACATCTGAGCAGGCGTAGATCACAAACATTCTAGTACTGACTTTAATAATAGAGAGATATTGCAAATTTCCATAACGCAAGCCACTATTAGTGACATCGTAATTAGAGTGAAATAAATTCCTTGCTAAAATCAGACTTATTGCAAACCAGGGCTGGTATATCTAAGGGGGTCGCGACATATACCCAATAAATGGATGAGAGGGTGACTGATACTATGGGGTAAATATTAGTCAGCTTAAGTTGGCAACACTTTTCTGATGTTTGTTGGGCGAAATCCACGGTTATCGTTTGTTCTGCCGTAATAGTATTATAAAAACAGAGGCAGATCTACTTTTAACGTGCATCGTGCATAATAATGTCAGTATGGTACAAGTGGAATAAACCACTGTTTTCCTCGTAGTCGAATGTCGAATTAAAACTAAAAACATTTTGTACTTTTTTATATACCAAATTATGCAATTTGTTTCCACTTTATTTTAATGTTACATGAATAAGTACATGCGTTTGTGCTGTGGTAAATAAGTTTTCATGTGAAAATTATCTCTGAAACTGCATTGTGATTGCACTCATCTCAAAAATGAATACTGTAAATCGAGGATTTAAATCTTTCATAGTGTTGCTTGGGATAAATTGTAAAGAAGGTGTTGGACAAAACGTTTACAACCTAAAATTGCATGGGAAACATCATAGAAGAAGGAATTTTACCTTTATGACATTATCTTTCAACAATTTTAAGAGACTAAGTTTGTGGTTTGGTGAATGGACTCAGTTACCACAGTCAAAAAATTCAAATTAAAAAAAAGTGACTTAAGTTCTAATAAGAATACATAAGTTGAATATGAAAATGTAATTGCTTGATTTAAATGTGATTTAATTAAGAGCTAAATAGATGTTTCATATAAACAAAGTGCTGCAAAATGTTGATAAATGCAGAACCATTATTAAAGAGAAATTAGTTATCATCAATAGGATATTTTGTAGTAGCTAGTCTCTTTAAATAATAAACTTCAAAGACTGTGATTTAGTAGTCACTTTTACACTAGAAGTACAAACAAAAAAAAATGTGTGGTTGATACTAATTTATGTATTTAATAAAAACATATATTTAACATGTTTTATTTAAATAAAAAACAGTGTTATTTAAAATGTATTATTTTAGTTTAATGTTTATAAATTGTGGGTACATTTGATACAAATTTTGCTTAATACTATAGAATGCATATGCATTTCTATATAGTTAGGATTGGAGTAGAAGCACAATAGTTTTGATTAAAAATATATTCTTTAAATACAATATTCACTAGATATGCTAATTTAGGTAATTTTCTATTTGAAGCCATACATGTTTCCTAGTATAGTTTTCATACGTTTATAATTCTGGAGATACTAAAATATTTTGCTTGATTACTAAACTTTGGTTGTTTTTGTTGTGGTCTGTTTTTAACACTATTGTCCTGAAATACTAAAAAAGTTAGACAAAGGTTTGTCCAACTCTTTTGTCAGCTTTGTTAATCTATGCTACTGTTATTCTACATGCAGACATTTTCTCTAAGAACTGTATTCAGTTTCAAATTTCGGCCAGTTTTAGGAAAGTACCTCTGTTGCAAAGGTATTTCAAAGCCATCCTTTGTAAGATGTAGCCAACAAATACATGCTAAAATGTATAGAAAACAAATCGCAAGATATTACACAAAATTATTTAAATTAAATAAAAACATACAAATGAAGTGAATAATACCTACCAACAATTTAAAAAGACCTAAAATAAATAGAGTTAGGGGACTGGAGCTCTAAAAAAGGGAGCCATAATTTGTTATGCATCCTCATCTATAAGAAAATTGTCTTCATCTCTTCAATTACCTTTTAAAATAAACCAAACCAAAACAGCACAAAATTGAAAGTGATCTGCTTTTCACGACGTATTCTATGTACATGTGAGATTATTAATAATTTATTAAATTGAAATATTTTATCCTAAAAAATATGGGCATTTTATAATGAAAATGTCATTTAAAAAAAGACATTGATTTTTGTCCTTATATTGGCAAGCCTGGCGACTACAGGTTGCCAGATCAATGGGCGACTACTATTTTGAAAAAAATGGCGTCCAAAATGGATTCCTATGTCGCGACCACCTTAGATATACCAGCCCTGTTGCAAACCTGAAATTTTGACATTAGAATCTTTGTCCTTATACTCATTTCTAACCTCATTTTAATAACTTTAAATTATAGTTCATCTTTTTTGTTGTCTATAATAGTACATAATATTAAAGAGGCATTAAAAAGTATAGTTTTAGAAGGTTTAGATGACGATTGGATTATATATTTAATATTAAAAAACTTCGAATGGATATGAATGTCGGCGAGCGCACCTGAAAGCTATAAAGTCGCCACTACCTGCTGCCCTTAAACATAGTTTTTGGGTGCGCTCGCCAACATTCGTATTAGTTCGAAGTTTTTTAGTATTAAATATTTAATATCAGTGTCATATAAACCTTCTAAAATGGTAATTTCTAAGGCCTCTACCATATTATGTACTATTATAAACAACAAATTTAATTTAAAATGAGGTTAGAAATATAAGGACAACACTCTAATGTCAAAATTTTAGGTTTGCAATAAAACTTATTTTAGCATGGAATTTATTTGCCTCTAATTACATTGTAACTATTAGTGGCAGACGTTATAGAAATTTGCATTATCTCTCTATTTTCTGTTATAGACGTATTTGTTTTCTTACTATCTGTCAGTTCAATTAACGTTGTCTTCCTTAAACTGTGCAACGTACAACCAAAAAAACTTAAAAATGAGAGTAGCCATTTGTGAATTAAAAATTGGAAAATACATTTATTTTGTATCTCACAGAGTTATCCTTTATTTAGACCAGTTTTAAAGTTTAGGTAACTTTATCTTCAGACACACTATAACATAATTATTATCCATATAATAGCGCACGCCTAATAATTTAATATAAACCGAAGTGGCTTTACAACTTTCTTGAATTTTTTTATAAATCATTACATACCTTTTTAACGTCATAATATTATGGTTATTTTCTAAATATTGCATAATTAAGTACCGCTTCCACAAATCACTTTGTCATTCTTTAAAAATCCATTCAATATTTATTGATATCATAGGCGTACATTTTTGCGAGCTTTGAATATCAATGTAAAAATAATAAATTTGATCACACATTCTAATAATAGTTTAAGATAGGAAGTAAGATCAACACCTTTGCCCATCTGTTTACCGGATGGAGGTTTTTTTTTTATTAAATAAAATACGTTTATTAATATACCAAAATGGACCTTTCTCGTCATTGATGATCTCTATTACTCATGCGCAAATTCTACTTTCGCTTAAAATCGTCAAAAATTTATTGTTTGTTATGTTTCCTACCATAAGTTTCAGTTATATAATAATAATACTCTCCCTAATTCACCCCCTTGCGAGTGAATTTTAACCCCAATAGCTGAGCTGGTGCGGGGAAAGGGACGGCTTTTATTATTATTTGCCGTGGCTTTCCGGGGCGACTTAAAGATGATTGATGGTGCCATTTGACTTACAGGTGAAGAAAACCCGGAAAACCTCACCCACCATATATCCGCAAATATAATTTTTTTTTTAGTTTGATGTTTGATAGTAATGGTAGGGGAGCCAGTGACACTGTTAGGTGTTTTATATTTGTGAAAGGTAAAATTTTATTACAAATATTATATCATTCATTCTTACCTTGTTGGACATGTAAATAGTTTGCTACGCTGCGGCTGTACCCTTGACGATGACGTTTTAAAAAAACCCTGTGCAGAAAATGCTGTTATAGATGCGCAAATTTAAAAGTTTCAAGTTTTAATTACATAAAAAGTTAGTAGAAAATAATTTCTTGAAATTCTGCTCACAGTAGGTACCCAGACAACACACATAGTCCAATGGATGTCCATTTTTGATCCATTTGAGGGCCAGAACGTCCATATCCCAATTCGGACATTCAGTGTACGTCTTTTGATGATCATTAATTTGACAGTTGCATATCGATGTCCACAGGACGTCTTTTTTTGGACTTAATTTTAAGTTTAGTATTATTTTGAAGTCCTGTGGACGTCCATCTTAGATCATTATTTATTCAGCCTACCAGACGTCGGAAGTCCAGAAAAAAACTCATCTTTGGACGTCCAGACATCCAAAATTGTATATCGAATGAACGTCCAATGGAGCTATTTGTGCTGTCTGGGTACCTTCCTGCTTGCTGACAGAATAAGAATTAACAATACATTTATAATTTAGATTTCTGCAAATGTGTATTTAAAAATTTTACTGGCTACCTACTATATAGACA